AAAAGAATTTTATTATAAATATGTTTATTGTCCAATCGATTGGTTTTGCTCCATATCATGTGACTCTCCTCTAAATGCATAACTCCTTTTAACGCATAAATTTCAGCGGTCCCGACGGTATGCATTTAGAGAAGTCTGACTGTATTATAATTTATTTTGGAGCTTGTCAATAAAAATGAAATACTGCGGCATATTTGTTTCATCTCTTATAAATACAAGGGGGTACCAAAAAGTTTGTGAATTTTTATGTAAATCAACAGCACTTTTATTAGACTGCAGTGTTGTAACAATGGCGTATTTTGTCCTATCTTCTTTTTTTTTAAAAGTACAACTACTTTGCTTCAACTTAATTAAAAAGCATGAGTATTTATATTATAAATACAAAAATAAAAAGTTTTTGAAAAAAAGTTATTGTATTTACAAAATTCACAAACTTTCTGGTACCACCTGTAGATGCATGGCGAAGGTACGATAACAGTATATAGTTGGTCGTATAAAATTTCCAAAAATCTTACCAGAAAAGATAATTAAGGGTTAGTGCGAAATATTAATCTGGGAAAGATATTCGTAAACGGCGAATAAATGGTGTAATCGACGTATCAGGTTAAGATCGTGCGCCAAGTGATTGAAGGTGAAAATTTACTACACGGTAAACAAATTTGGTTTGTATGGAGCAGCGGGAAGAAACTCTCATTTTATGGGTTGGGACTCGAGATAATTCCTTCCTTCAAACAACCTCTTTTTTATTTATGACACATTACTGCATTACCTTCAAAGAATACCTTGTAGATCTAAAACAAATTCATTCAGGATTTGTGAATGCACGCAAAGAGGATTTCCCAAGTCTTGCCAGTGGACATGATAAAAGCGTTTGGAATATCTTCTTGCATTTTGAGTAATAGAATCTAGCAAGAGACCCTCCTGGATAAACATAACAGCAATAATTAGTAGCAGTAATCAATAAACATGATAATAAGTAATAAATAACGATCACTTACTTCGACTCCTGCTTCAATCCACGCACGCATTTTCTCATAAAAGAAACTTTCCGAATCGCTCATTGATCGTATCTCTACCACAAAGTTTGGTGCCAATGCCGAAAATACTTTGTTTTGTTTGTTGGGAGACAAAGTATTCCACCTTCGATAATAAAAAAGGTTACAAATGGTGCAGGCATGTATGTCAGTATAGTATTCAAATACTTGAACCGAGAACGACAAAAGTATCTGGACATGAAACTGTTGGGCCACCCTGCAATTAGTATAATATTAGCTCATGAGAAAAAAAAGTTCATACGACAATTTGTCAAGCTTGTCGAACATACCTGGCTACTACCAAATCGTCCAACAAGGTTAGGGCAATTCAAGCACCAATTGACAACTCGTCCAATAAGTCTGCCCTTTTTTTCACCTATGTTTTTAATCGTTTAGCATACATGGCATGGATCGCAATACAATTTCTGTCGAAATTTTAAAAAATAACATACTTGTTGATAAAATAAGATGTGTCTCAATTCTGAACGAGACAAGCCCCTTACGCATGTGGGCAATCAGAACACTACAATTACTTTGCAGACGTCATATCAACCATTTCTCCGATAACGTTGTTTTATTGGCACTGTATTTTATCGACAGTTATTTCAAGGATAATTATTCCCATTTTTTACCGACAGCTCATAATCTATCATATCTATGAATCAGTCGCAAAAAATTGTATTTAGGAGTAGTCGACTGCTGACCTTGTACTGACTATAACTGTTTGCAAAATAATTATCGGTACAATGACTGTTGGTAAAATTACTATCGATAAAATGACGTGTTAAAATAATCTTGTCGAAGAAATAACATATTTGTCAATGTTATTATACAGACTCAATCATCCTTACAGATTTGACAAAGCGTTCGGTGGTTCTATAAGGATTGTAACATCCATCTTGTCATGTGTTACAGTATATATGGCGCTATTATTTTAC